AAGTCCTCACGAACCCCGCCCACCCCGAACAACAACCCAAAACCCTAAAGAACTCGATGCATGGCGGCAGCCAAGCGCATGGTTTTGGAGAAAAGCCGGGAACTCGCACGGCAGGCGTGCCAAAGAAGGGGGGCAATTCCTGCTTCGATTTTTGCTAAGGGTTGAAGGCTTTTTGCTAGGGTCCTTTGGGTTCTCGGGCTTGAAGGTGGTAACGTTCATAGAGGGCTGTGAGGTTCTCGGATTCTCGAATCTAGGGTTTTTGTGCTTGGGTCTGGTCGGTTCGAGTCGCTGCATTTCAGTATCACCTGGGCGTTTGAGGTTGACTCGCACAAGGGGGCAACTCCCACAGAGACCCTCATTCGCGTTGCTTTTGATTGTTTTTCTTACACCAAACGATAGACCACAAAGCCTGAAACTCCCGGCCTACATCCTAGACTCTAAACGTCTCTGAACCAGAACGTTGTGAATTGGGGAGGGCAGGGAATGGCACAGGGTATAACACAGGGTCGGTCAGGGCTACACTGGCCGATGTGGACGAAGCACGAAGGAACGAAAGAGGAAACTGACCAAGGATTCGACACGGGTGTGTGTGCAGAGGGACCAGAAAGCTGATGAAACAGGAACGCCTCTCCTATGGGGCTTCCGACGGGCGCTGACGGAAAAAGATGCTTCGAACAAATTCTTTAAAACTCTAATCCCCAAGCCCTGAGACCCCACAGCCGCTATCTTATTCCTGAGAAGCGAAGCGTAGCCTGGTGAAGAATGAAGGCTTCTGCGGCATTGGCTGAACGGTACACCTCACCTTGACATGCGGGAGCTTACCGATTGCGTGACATCACGCGAATGTTCACAATTCTGTAGTTTGTGCTGAGAAGAGTAGCTTTAAACCTTGTCTTTACATGGGTTTGCTTTGTGGACATGAAGATGATTAGGTCAGGAGGTAGCGCCCTTTCCGTGCTTTGACCAGGCAAACGGCCCGAAGATGGTTCGACGCATCAGATGGGACTCGACTGTGCAGCCGTGCTGCTGATCGTGTTGCTGTTTCCTCACGGCTCTTCGATAGTCTCATACATATGCACAAGCGAGCTGAACGATGGGAAGCAGCAGCTCAACAATTTGCAACTTGTTTCTCGCGGCTGGCAGGGGCCCTCATGGACCTGGAGTGTCCAACGAAGCTTGAAGTCCAAGACGAGCTCATGCCTGCTGGGCATTCGTTATTTTACATCCTTGTCCGTTGGGTGTTCTGTGGGGTTGGGAGATTTCGTCCATCGCCAAGTGACACTGCCTGGGAGCAATGGATGGATTTGGAGCAGATGTCTGATTTGACAAAGCACGCGGACGTATACATGACCGAAAGGCTTGGAAGCCTGGAACCCGAGCAATGTGGTCAGTCGAGTTGTTTCGCAGACTACGGGGCTGGATGTCCGACACTTGTGAAGTGGTCACCTTTCCCGCTCGACTCACGCAAGTATGGGGTTACCTCGTTACGATTTGCTTCTGTGTTGGTGACTACCCAAAAGCCTGCAGAGTTTGACGTTTGGGCGCAACTTCAATCAGAGTTTGGCGGGCATCCAACTACCCAGCAGCCTGCAGAGTTCGACGTTTGGGCACGATGTTAATCAAAGCTTGGAGGGCATTCAGCTACCCAGCCGCCTGCGAAGCTTCGCTGCACGAAATTTTGTGTAGCCACGTGGTGAGCAGCTGCTGGTCGCGCAAAAATCTTGCTTTCATTTCAGGTCTTGGGCTTCCCAAGCATGCCCAAATACCCCATGTTAACGTGCCATGCTAAACTACACTATTTTGGAGGATTTTGGGTCCCAGAATTGACGAAAGGCTTCACGGGATTTTTGAGCTACTGTGGGCTGGCATAGGGCTTCTCGGTCTATTATGCCTTTACAGGGTTCCAGGGCTTTGTGACGCTGTCGAGTTACATCGGGCTGCAAAGGATCGAGTAAGTGCGTTGCTGTGGGCCCGAATCTTGGACTGCAAGGGCCAAGGACCCACGAATCCCAACCCGAAAAGCCTTGTTCTGGATAGCCTGAGTCAGAGTAGTCTAGCATCTGCCGCATCGGCCCACCCTAAAATTCATAAAGCGCCAAAGCCTACACCTGAAATCCATAAAAGGACCTAGTGATAATAGCACGAGAAAGCTTGAATCTTGAGCCCTTTACAAGCGAAACTTGAGGATGTTCGAGGCGGCGGGTCGCATCCGTGGAGTGTCGTGGCAAACTCTGGCGATCACGGGTATGTTCATCTCTGCAAGTTACCATGGTTGTCATCATGCTTGGTTTCGTCGATGCTGATAATCAATTTAACTTGCGACGTGATGCTTTCCTCATCGCTGTCTTTTGGTCATGAATGTGACCACCAGCAGTTCCGCTTGGTATGATGTGGGCTGTGGCTTGCTTCTGTGCATGGGCTATACCTTACCGTCGGGCCTCTTTTTATCCTGGTAATGCTGATGATGCTATGATAGCTATTTGCATGATCACTGCTTGTTCTTGGAGTTCAAGCCTGGAAGCCTCTTTGTTTCGGAGGAGGCCCATGGGACCCTTCAGGAATATCCCGTAGGCATGGCATACACAAGATTCACAAGAGATTTGCTCCTAAACCCTAGACATGTGTGCCTAGGTGACGGGCACGCTGCAGACGCCAATGAACGCGCGGCGTCTTCACAACTTGGCCTCCATGCGCTTGAAGCGACTCAGCGATCCACGAAGCAGCCTTCAAGGGCTCGTACCCTGTTTTAGTAGACAGGAGGCGGAAGTTTACTCAAAAGCGGAATCCGAAGGTCTGAAGCCCTGAATCCCGAATGCAGGACCCCTAAACCTTGAACCCGAAGCTTGAAACCTCGAGACCCAAGCTCTCAGCCATCTTGGGGCCACCGAAACGAGGCAAGGGAGGGACACCGGAGACGAGCAGCAGCTGGAGATCCTGGGCTGAACTGAGCTCTTCGGAGAGTTTAGGGTTTCTACGGCTCAGGGGTTTTAGGATATAGTGCTTAATCGGGGTTTAGGACGTAGGGTTTAGGACCGTCAGGGTTGCTAGGTTGGCGCTGGAGGTGTAACCTCGACCCACGATGATGACGGGGAGAATGACCAATTACCTACCAGCGCCACGAGTGCCGCCAGCACCGACAGCACTTCACGACTAGTCGTCGTGAAGTTTTTACGTTTCCATCACATACTGATGACATATTGAATAAGAACAGGTCTGCACATAAAGGCAGATATTTGGATAGTTGGGTAAGTAGGCACACGTAGATGTATGTCTTATTGGCGCGTAAGCCGCAGAACCTTGAAGCCCGAAGCCCTGATGTGTCTTTTTACAATTTCCGGGAGTCCCTGGTACGACCGTGCACGGTTTGTTTAGCCCAGCAACTTCCAATAGTTTTAGAGCTTCACAAAGTGCAGCACAAGGATCGCTTGGGGGTACTTCGAAGAAGCTCTGGAGATTCTCCGTGCTTGCGGCGTGCGGGAGCGGTGCCCTGGGTTGCAGGAGAGAGTAGAGCTGAAAACAGCAGCTTATCCTATTGCTCCCACCGTGACACAACTGCTTACAACATCAAGAAGCAGACACACCCTTGAGAACGCCTGCAGAAAATTTAGGGGCATCATCCGTTCGGATAATATGTAGCAGAACCGGCCCGTCCGAGTAAGGCTGTCAAAAGCCGGTAACTTTTCAACCGGTTCAGGTTGCAGAGTTACGCCCTTGTAAAACCTCAGACCTGTAGAGTGTTGGTTTTTAGTTGGCTTTTAACACCAGCTTCGACTCGAGGTTTGCTGATCGCCGCGAGAAGCTGCAGTGGTTGTCGGAAAAAAGGAGACAGCCTTGAGAAGAAGTTCGCGAGGTAGGGTACAAGTCGAGCTGAAGAGGGCATTGTTAGGGAAATTTCCTGTGAATTGGAACTTGCTTCGGAGTTGTGGGGCCTTGAGGGGTAAGATCGCCTCTGATCATAGCCGTTCCATCTTGTGTTGTCTTTGCCGGTCGTTGTTACTTTTCGAATGTTTCGGCTGTTCCAGCTGTTGTTGCTGCAGTAGCATCTGCGCTCGGCCGCACTGACCCTAAACCCTAAACCCTAAACCCTAAACCCTAAACCCTAAACCCTAAACCCTAAACCCGCACTGGCTCACAGCGTTACACCGCACCTCCATAGAAAGCGGAAGGGGCCCCATCCTGTGACGGCCCCGAGCCCAGTGCCCAAGTCGTGGTCGCACGCAGCGGTTTTCTTGTGACAGTTATATTATATTATATTATACTATATTATACTAAATTATACTATATTATACTATATTATA